TGGGGCGGGGCCTCAGGGAATCACCAGGGTGGGGCCAACAGTGTGAGCCAGGTTGCTGGAGTCCCAGATATGGCAGCCTCTGCCTGCCCTGTGGGGGAAGGGCTCACCAAAGGAACAAAGGCCTCTGACAGCATGTATGTATAGAAGAAAGCTGCCTCTCCAGCCCTCGCCCCATGCCAGACAACTCAATTCTTCCCTGTATGTCTCTGGCAGCCCTCAAGCTGTCTCCCCTCCGATCTCAGAGGGAGCAAGTCCGAGGAAGTCCGTGTGCGGGCCCTTTAAGAGGAGCTACCTGTGACTCCAGCCGCCTCAGCCTCCCTGAGCCTCAGTTCCTGCTGGTTTTACAGCCAGAAGTTATGGGGACTTCTCTTCCTGGTACTGGAACCCTGAGCTGGACGCCTGGTGTGGGACAAGGACCCCTCAGTCCTCAGGGAGGACCTGCCCAGCCAAGGTATCCCTCCTGATTTTTTTTTTTTAATTATTATTTTTTATCCTCACCCGAGGACATTTTTTCGTTTTTTGTTCAGATAAGAGTGGAAGGGAGAGAGAGAAACATCAACATGAAAGGGACACATCGAGTGGTTGCCACCCACATGACCCAACCAGGGCTGGGGACAAACTGCAACTGAGGTACGTGCTCTTAGCAGGAACTGAACCCAGGTCTCTCTGGACCTCAGGCTGATGCTCTAACCACTGAGCACACTGGCCAAGGCTCCCTCCTGATTATTCCGCCACACATGGGTGTGGGACCAGCCTGTCCGCCTCCACACTCCTACCAGTCTTGGTGTGGTTTGTTTAATTTCGTAGTTGTAGGACTTCCATGCAGCTTGATATCAGGTGTTTTGAATGATGATTGTTCTGTAGTTTAGTTGTGATTTTGATGTCATTACCTAACATTATGAGTCTCAGTTTCTTGTCTAGTATTCGGATATTACATTTGGCCTCACCCCATGTAAATTTCAAGGGCTGACAAGGAAATGGGGTAACAGCGTCAGCTTCACCTGCTTGTTTTGAAGATTCGCAGAAGTACGTGTAGAGCGCAGGGCAGGGAGCCTGGCCCATGGACGGTGTTGGCCACTGCAGTGGTGAGAGGACCAGAGCAGTCTGGGGTGCACTGGTCTGTGACCCTCTGGCAGAGAGGGGAAGCAGAGTGACGCACGCAGTCCATTGATCAGGCTACCCCTGATTTCGGCTAAGCCTGGAGTCCCGTGCCTGGGGGCTGTAGTGGGCCCCCCTTCATGGGACATTTCCTTTCTTACTATGTAGGATATGAGCAGAGTCTTTACATAGCAAAAGTACTTCCCCCCCCAAAAAAAATGAAATTAAAATTAAGACTGTCTTGGCCTGAATTCAGCACTCCTGAAGATCAAGAACAGAGTAGGTGCTGAAGGAGGAGGCTAGTTGGAGCCACTGGAGCTGCGGCCTGGCTCTCGCGCTCTCTGCTGAAATCCCATGTGTGTGTGGGATGTCAGAGAACACCTGGTCTTCCTGGCTGGGACTGCTGGGACTTGCACGGAGAAGGACTACAGGTTTCCAACTGGGTTGGATCATTCTGATTGATGAGAAACTCGAGGTCTCACGCTGGAAGCTGAGAGGTGTGTCAGAGTGAGATTTCTCCTTCTACTTCATGTCCCTCAAGGCCATCTGACAGCCCAAGAGAAGGTCATTACTATTTCACCTCGGCCCTGGTAGCCAGGTGTGGGTTGCTTCCATAGCTCACAGTCCCAAGATTTCTCCCCTCCACTGGGGACAGATCTGGGGGGACACCACCAGAAATCTAGCTCCTCAGATAGGGAATAAAGGGACACACTAGAGTCTCATTCCAAGGTCTATCCATTCTAAGGGAAAGAGCCACACACAAAAGATCTGAACATCTTCAAAGGCTTGATGCCTTTGCCAAAAAGGCAGTTGGACTACAGTCAACAACGCGAGTGTAAACACATGTGCAGCACTGTTCGCGGGTCACCACGGGTGGGTCACTGGCGAGGTTAGCTCCAGGAGAATCAGGCCCAGGACAGCCGCCTCGGCTGCTCCCGGCGTTCTAGCAGGCTCAGGGTGGCAGGGAGGGGCCCACTGCCATCTCCCCAGTACAGAGGTCAGGTTGGCAACTTGTGGGAGCTCAGTACTTGTTAACTGAATGAATGGCCTGAATTCCCACCCAAACCTACACCCCTGGTGAGGTGAAAAAGGAGACCAGCTGAGAAGCTCCTCTGCAAGGCTGCTGGGGTGGAAAGCAGCGCCCTGTGGCACGTTCCAACAGGACAGGAATGAGGTAAAGCGCTCGTTCATTTTGCATGTGGAAATCTTTCTCAAGTGAAGGTTTCACGTGCTGGGACTCTCTTCAGCCTAACTCTGCTGAGGGCCCACCTAGCTAGGGATCGAAGTGTGTGCTTTTCTGTGGGTGTGAGACCCAGGGTAACCCTGTTTCAGAATGCTGTCCCAGCCTCCCAGGCTATGAAGGGAGGTGCAGCTACTTTTTGTTATACCCAAGATGCTCCAGCTACTTCATGGGACTGAGTGAGTGGAGAGGACTAAGCAAAAGATCAGGATGGGGAGGTGGGGGACCTTCCATTTCAGTTCCACTGGTCAGCCCCTGCAGAGAACATGCCATTCCAGCCAAAGCAGTGACAATAATGGAATCTGTGTTAATAACCTGGGCACAGACGAACAGTGAGGCAGACACACAATGCTTTCTTTGTGTCTGACAGTTGGGTATCTTGAGCCAAAAACCTCCTGAAACTCCCTGAAGATAACATGAACATTTCTTCCCATGACAGGGTGCTGTGACTTCCAATAACCCAGGCAGCCCCATCTGCTCCCCTCCCTGAAAGTGCCTGGGCAAGAACAATAGGGTGTGTCACCAGTGTTGGGGGCAGCCGTGAAGATGCTGATATAACCACACAACCCTGGCCTGATTTTGGGCCCAGGAGGGGCTTGGGAAGTGGAGAATAAGGCTCTGTTGAGGCAGGTCTTGCTGCAGACACTTTAGTGTCACCTGGGAGTTGAGGCAGCAGACACCTCTATCCCAACTGACACTGCACTGGGGAACCTAGCTGCTGGGACTGGTGGAGGTCTTGGTGGTTTATCAAACTGACTCTCAGCCTCAATGTAGTTTGTATTTATTGAGGCCTCACTATGTGCCAGACACAGTGCTCCATATGCCTCACCTCATATGAGACTCATCAGACATCAATGACATAGGTCCTGGCATCACCCTCATTCTACAAAGGAGAAAACTGAGCCTCCGAGAGGGTAAGGTCACAGACAGCATGCCAGAGCCAGGACAGGCATCCAGGCAGGGAATCTTCCGAATCTGGCTTCCTACCCAGTACTTGATGCCCAGACTGTGCAGGGGAGCTGAGGCCACAGTTAGAGGACCACGGTGGCATCCCAAGCGAGACCGGTGCCAGGAAGGGGAGAGGGACTCAGGGCCCACAGAGGGCAGCACACGGGTAGAGAGCTTTCTCAGACTGCACATCTGTCCTTCCTCTGGGGTGTTCCTGCCACTCCTCAGACTAAAACACCCACAGATCTTTAGTCAACAAACTCTGGCAAAGAAGCTAGAAACTGCATTCTAGGCTATATTTCTCTGTGGAGAACAAGGCCATCTAGATAAAGGTTGGGGAATCAGGAGGGTTTCTGTTTGTTTTGTTTTTCTGGTAGTGAGTGTTGGGAATAAAAGACCCTTTTCAAATCGACTTCCCTTTCAGATCTGCCCTGAATTAAACCCTGGAGACTCAAAGCCACACCTTCCCACTTCCTGTAGCGGGCTAGAGCCCAACCTTGCACGCCCAGATTCTCTGCGCTTCATCTGAGAGCCTCCACAGATGGCCGGCCTCTGCATGGGAGGTCAGCTCTGAGTGTCCGCGGCCAGCCTTGGCTTGAAAGATGGGAGGGCTCTTTAACACGGGCCCATTTCCTTTAAGTGAACTAACTTTGGACTTCCCAAAGACAGAGCCATTGGTCAGGTGTTTGCTGGACTCTCCTTCCCGCCAACTGAAGCAGCATCTGTCCTGTCGCTCGGAGTCTCGAGCCAAGAAGGGATGAGGTTATTAGGACATGGAGAACTGCCAGGGGCTGGAGTGACAGTCAAGGGCCTCTGCCAGGCTTCCTGGAGCTGTCACAACTAGAGATGCCCTACAGGTGCAGTCTCCCACACTGAAACCAAGGGCCTCGTTCAGATTTGGTGGGGAGGGGAATGAAGAGGCCAGTCTGTACTAGAATCCCGAAACCTTGGGGGATCTTCAAAGCCTGAGTGAGGCAGCATAAAACAATGGAAAGGGTCCTGAACAGAGGCTCAGACTTGAGTTCTAATTCCAGCTCTGTCAGCATTAGCTTTTTCTAACCTTAGAAAGTCACTGGGACTCCATGGTCTTGGTTTCCTCATCAGGAAAAATCAGGAGGTTGGACTAGATGATCTCTAAAGGCTTCCAACTCTAACTTTCTAAGAAGCTATGATTCTCTTCCTCTCCCATTCTGGAGATAAAATGGGGATAAAAACTGTGGGCTTACAAGGGGAAAGGATTCAATTACCCCCTGTGCTGAGTGACTCTGGGTCTTGGCTAGGCATGAACTTAGCAGTGGAAACAAATGGACCTGGAGGTCTGGAGAGGCTTCCTGGTTTGTCACATGGCCTGAGGTGGCCCGACAGAAAGGCCAGGGACGTGTCCTTGGCAGGGGTCCCTGTTTCAGGCTCCCTCTTAGGAACGTGCAAACTGTACACCAGATCCCAGTGATGAGCAGTCAGAAGCCATGTGCTTTTCCTCGCCTGTGGAACCTACCTCTCCCACCTACCCAGGCAGAGCCGAGGAAGGAAATGTCCCAGGACAGGAGGTCCCTGTGAGCCCCATCTGTGTGAGGTTCTAGAGCTCCACTACTGAGAGTGATAAGGCCCAGGTTCTGCCTTCCGAGCCCCAGGATGTACTGAGTCCAAGCTCTGGTTCTATGTGAAGGCCACGTGAGACAGGACTGTCTCAGAATGAAAGAATCAGGTTACTCACTGTTTTGGGGACAATCTGTTTCTTGGGCTGCCCAATCTTGAAAGGAATCCTGTAAGACAAAGAGACAAAGAAGGATGTTAGGATTTGGCTAAAAGAACAGGTGAAATACAGGCCACTTGTCCCCAAGAAGGGTGAAAACCAGTGGTGGTGGCTCACTTCCTGCCACTTGTATGAGGTGCCCTGTGGGTCTAGGACCATCAGCAGCCAGGCTGGGCTCTAGAACGGTCATCCTCCCATGGACAGTATCAGATGGAGGTCTTGGGTACCACCTTCTGCCCTGGAGCATCTTCCCTTCTAACAGTCTACTGTTTAAATGCATTGCAAAGGTCAAGACAGGAAAGGGCAGATACTGTACCAATAATAGTCACCATAAACCTTGTGTCTTAAGGAGTGGTGAAGTCAGAGAGTATGGGCTTACTTGGATCGCTATTATCCTAGAAAATAGGCCTTTTTAAAAGCACCATAAGAACCACATATCTGTATTAGATGCTTCACTGCTTCTCTTCAGAGGGACAAACTGTGGCTCTGAAAGGCTTCTTCTTCTATGGTGGGGAAGAGATGACAAATTGTAGGAGCATTGAGGACCAGCCAGGCTGGGTGATTTCCTGTGAGAACTGACAACATCTAAATGCAGCTTACTCCAAGAACCTGAAATCCAGCCCAACTCTGCCTTGGACTTGCTAGGAGGCTCTGTGCCTCAGGTGTCCCACACAGAAATGGAGACAGCTTGGCATAAGTGAAGGTCATGGTCTGGGACTCTCAACCTCAGCACTAACTCTGCCTCCACCTCCACTGAGCAGGCTGTTCTTTGGCAGGTAACCTCTGCCCTGTGTCTTAATTTCCTGCTCTGTGAAGCAAGAGGGTTAAGTTAGATGATCTAGAAGCTTCCTTAAGGTGCTGAAAATGGAAAATGATTCTACAAGTTTGAGAAGAAAAGAAGTGCGGCCAGGCTAGGAAGCAAACACAGTGCATCCCACAGCTCTAGACATGTCGGTGCCCCCGCCCCAGGGAGGGGTGAGGTAGGCACCCCTGGGATCAGCTCAGGGAAGAGGGTTGCAGCAGGAGCCCTGGGGGTACAGGCTAGACTCCACTCTCGCTGCTCTCGGTCTCTTCCATTCAAACCTCCTGCTCCCACTGCTGTCTACCCGTCTGCCAGGCCCCTTCCCTCCACACACCCTTCTCCCCAAGCCTGGCTTCTTTTGGCCCAAACTGACCAACACTGTTGCTAAACCCAATGGTATAATTAACCACCGATAATAACCCCAGACAGTGATCTGGTTTGAGGATGGGCCAGCCTGAGTCACAGTGGTTTAAATTTAATTTCTGGAGGACATCCTGTTTATCGTTAATCCACCCCATAATTTGGGAATGTTAACCCTTTGGGGGCTGGCTGATTCACGTGGCTTCTGTAAACAAATAATCTCTGGCTATACAATTACCAGGGGGAAAGGTAAGCTATGGAACTGGAAAAAGAAAAAAGGGAAATGAAATTGCTATTTCCCCTTCTCAGACCTAAAGAGGAAAGAGTAAGACAGATGAACTCCTTGGGGCCCTCCCTGGGCCACTGGTTACTTTTCCCCAAATCAGATTACAGTTGACTGACACAATGGTTTTGGACAGTGAACAATTGGCCTCAAGGACCATTTTGGTGACAGTGCAAATGAGGTCCTGGTGGCATTGCGAAGACTGACCCTCCTGTGCACGAAGCATGTGTATAAAAAGCTCCAGATCAGGAATCAGGAATCCTAGTCTCTGCCTCTGACTAGTTTTGTGATTTGAACAAACTGCAATGTGTCTGAAGCTTAGTTTTTAAACTACAAAACAAAGTAGTTGGAATAGGTGGTCCTTCTGGCTTGTCTAAACCGAATCTCCATTCCAAGAACATGGAGTGTAGGAAGGGAAGGCTAAAGAATTCTCAGAGTGGTCTTCAAAATGATTCCAACTAGGAGTCGAGGACTACAGATGAGGTACCAAGGAGTTAGGAACTTAGAGTCCATTACTTGTGGAGCCACAGCCTCTCACTCAATCTGAATTTAGAATCACAGTATTTTTAGAACTGTAAGTTACCATAGAAATTTTTCCAGTTTAAAACTCTCATTTTGTAGATGAGAAAGCAGACTTGGAGAGGTTCAGTGACTAGCCCAGGGCCATTCTGCTGCTTCACAACAGCACCAGGAATACACCTTTAGGGCTCTGACGTCCAGTCCATTTTCTCTCTACTACTCATAGTTTAATACTTGCTCACATGCATTTGTTAATACAGTCGCCCCTTGGTATCTGATGGGGATGGGGTCAAGGACTCCCTGCAGATACCAAAATCTGCTGATGCTCAAGTCCCTCATATAAAATGGTATAGAACAATGACCCTCATTTCTGTGGGTTCCCAACCAAGGACATTGTTTTCAATATGCAGTTTATTGAATCCATGGACATGAAACCTGAGGGTATGAAGGGATGACTGTATGTATTTTAAAGAACATTTTATCCCTTTAAAAAGTAAAGCATGCTCATCAGAGAAAACTTGAGAAATACAGAAAAGTATAAAAGAGAGAAAGGTGGAGGGTGGGAGGTGGTAGAGGGAAAAAAACCCAAAACAGACTATAGTCTCATATCTAAAAGACAACCAAGGTTATTCTTTTGGTATTAATTATATTTTAAATATTTGCAGAAAGAAAAAAAAAATAGAAGCAAATATGCCAAATGTTAGTAGTGGTTAACTTTAGGTGGAAGAAGAATATGATTACTGTTTTCTTCTTTGCACTTTCCATATTTTTCAAATAAACTAAAAAAATAAAAACAACAAAACCCGTGGGTTTTTTTTCTTGACTACAAAAATAACACTTGATCAATGCCTCCCCACCTAATAAACAGTAATACCCTGAATTTCAGTGTGTACATACATAAGTGTACACACGTATATATGCATACTTACATACATTTTTAAAAATAGAGGAAACATATCACAAATGTTTTTTTTTTTTAATCCTCACTAGAGGATATTTTTCCATTGATTTCCAGATAGAGTGGGAGGGAAGAAGGGAGAGAGAGAGAGGGAGAGAAACATCAACGTGAGAGAGACACATAGACTGGTTGCCTCCCACAAGACCCTGACTAGGGCCGGAAACTGAACTGCAACCGAGGTATGTGCCCTTGACCAAAATCAAATCTTTGACTCTCTGGTCTGTGGGCTGAAGCTCTAACCACTGAGCCAGTGACCAGAGTACCATAAATGTTTTTATATGCCAATATAGTTGTAATCAGCCTGACTTTTAAGAACTACCTAGTGCTTCATTATACACCTGTACCACTAGTTTTGGCTTAATTATTTTAAAAAATTGTTAATGTTTCCATTGATTTTAGAGAGAAGATGGGAGAGGAATAGGGGGAGAGAAAGAAAGGGAGAGAGGGAAAGAGAAAAAAACAGGAAGAGAGGGAAAGAGATAGAGAGAAAGAGAGAAATATCAATCGGTTGCCTCCCATACACACTTGGACTGGGGACTGTACCCACAACCTGAGTATGTGCCCCAACAGGGAATCAAATCCACAACCTTCTGATGTATGAGATGACACTCCAATCAACTGAGCCACCCAGCCAGGCTGTTTTATTTTTGTAACCCACATTACTTACTGGTGATCGCTTCAACTGTTTCAAATTTTTCTTCTATTATAAACAAAAACTCTAATAGCTAAATCTTTGTGCATATCAAGGATTAGTCACATAGCGTAAATTCTTAGAATTGAAATTGCTGGGCCAAAGGATATATACACATTCAAGGCTTTGATATATTTGCCAACTGCCCTACAGACAGAATGAAACAGTTTGCATTTTTTAAAAGACAGAAATAGTTAACATTTTACCATTTTGGCCTGTTTATCAGGGTTTTTATTTATTTGTTTGTTTAAATCCTCACTGGAGGATATTTTTCCATTTACTTTCAGACAGAGTGGGAGGGAGAGAAAGAGAAAGGGAGAGAAACATCGATGTGAGAGTGCCACATCGATTGGCTGCCTCTTACACAACCCCGACCAGGGCCGGGGACTGAACCACAAGGGAGGTATGTGCCCTTTACTGGAATCAAACCCGCAACTCTGGTCTGCAGGCCAACTAACTGCTGAGCCAAACCGACCAGGGCATGTTTATCAGGGATTTTTCCTGGCTTGGGGTTGTCTTTTCCCTTTGAACATGTATGTGTTTAAGGTACAGAAGTTTTTGTTGAATATGAAGTCAAATCTAGCAAATTTATCTTTTCCTTTAAGATTTCGTCCTTTGATGTCATCACACTGAGAAAGACCTGCCCCTTTCACCTCAGCATAAAAATTCACCTATATCCACTTTATTACTTTTATGATTTCCTTTTATTAATCTAAATTTTACTTTTATCAAACTTATACATGTGAATAGTTTAATAAGGCACCAGGCTTGTTAAGTAAAACATTAGGCTCTAGCTCCCCGAATCTCATTTGCTGAGGCAGGCACTGTCGTCTGTGCTGGGTTCTTGGTTTGCCCCTCTGCATCTCCACATAACAGTGCTTGTACTGCTGCCTCTTGAGTGTTAGGTCTTAGGCACTAGCTTGATTTATTTTGGAAGAGGAAGATTTAATGAAACAAAGAAACCTCTTTATGGTCTCCACCTCTGTAACACAAAGGCACGTTTTCAACTCCCCTTCTTCTCAATATAGTTCTATTATGATTTCGTTAGGGCAATACTAAATAAATTAATAGGAGCATAATGGCATGCATTTTCCTTCCCGCACATGGCAGCCAGCAGATCCCTCAGCTCAGCCAAGCCTTCAGAAGACAGAAGCTCCGGCTGATGTACTGAAGTATAACCTCCAGAGTTCCCAAGCCAGATTCCCCAGACACTCCACATTCAATGACCAATGGAAACTGCTATTGTTTTGAGATACTAAGTTGTGGGGCAATTTGTTACACAGCAATATATAGGTAGTAGCATTGCATAATTTTTGCCTTCATTACAATTAGTAATTGTCACTTTTCTTTCATGGGTTTAGTTTTCTATGTATTTACCCCTAATTCTTTTTCAATTG